TAGACCCTAATTCAAAATAAGGGCTGAGGATGTAGCTCAGTGTGAAAGCCCTGGGTTCAAACCTCAATAGCCCCCCCAAAAAAATCCTTGCAAAATTGAGATTAGGTAATTCTATTTTTAATTTTTTTAAAAGCCACCATACAGTGTCCACATTGACTGCATCATTTTACATTTCCACCAACAATACACCTGGATTCCAGTTTGCCAGCATCCTTTCAAGTTTGTTGCTTTGTTTTACTTTTTTAAAAAATAATAGTAACTAACTTATTGGGTGTGAAGTAGCATCTCACTGGTTTTGACTTTTTATTTCCCTAATTATTGGAAGCTGATCAGACCCCCCAATCACCTGACCAAGAGTACAGTGGACAGATTAAAAAAGACAAGATCTTAATGCATAAATGGGAGGCCTAGGGTGGTCAAATCTCTTATCTGGCTAAGACACTGTCTCTTGGAGCTTACCACTACTTATTGATCATGCAGCTTCCAGATGAGGTAAGGGGCAGTGCAGGAAACAGTGAGGTGAAGGGCACTGACAGCAGCAGGGTCCTAGCAACAAGGGAACAAGATATTCTAGTAGATCATTGATTATGGGAAATTTGTTTCTTCCCATGGATTAATTTTTGCCTCTCTAGGAGTTTTCTGTATGAGTCATGTTGCCCTTAGCTACACTATTGTTTTGCCGTTCAAGACATCACAGCGTCACGAATCATTGAGACCTCTGCTGTAACCAGTGGTGTGGGGAGTTGTTCCTTTCCCACACACCAACTGCTGGTTCTTCAGACAGCCATTGTGGGCTAATAGGCAGACTCAGACTTTTAATATGAAAAGCCAGTTTATGAATTTGTAACTCGATTAGCGTGTTCTCCATCACCTAGTGATTAGTGATACTGAGTATCTTGTGTTTATGGGCCACGGGTAATATGGTGCTGATGTTTACATTATGATGTTTCCATATGGGTGTGGAATTTCAGTTTTGCATAAGGAAAAGTGTTCAGGAAGTGGACAATGATGGTTGCAGACTATGAATACAAGCTCTAACTTAGAAATATATAAAATTATTTTAAAATAAATTATGAAAAAATTAAAGCTAGCATGTTACCAACCTGAATATTAGCCATAAAATGAAATTTTCCGTATTAATTCTATTATCTTTCCTCATTAAGGTAATTGAACTCCATACTGATGAGGAAAGAATTATGACTAATCTTTCATTTAATCTCCCTACATCAATTTTTTCTAACAAACAAGAATTTGAAATTGAATAAACAAATGTATTTTTATTGTTATTTCATAGTTTAATTTTTATCTGACTGATACTTAAATTATAAATCAATGGTAATATAATAAAAACATACATTTTACATTTAGCTTTTTATTTAAACAAGGATCCTTGGACATTTTTCTAAGAATAAAACCTATGTATAACAAAAGAATTGACTTTTGACTTTTAAATGTTTGTTTTGATCTGAAACTTAAGATATAAACCCGGTAGAGCTAATTAAAAATAGGCAACTGCTCCTGAACATAAAGTGAATGGCTGTTGTTTTTCCTTTGTCACAGGAATGCATGCACTGCACCAGAAAGCTGCCAAGAGGAATATGAAGACTGCCAAGGTCGCCAGCAAATGGCCTGAAGAAGAAAATGAGCTTTATAACCCTTACGTCCCGCCCCAAATACGGCCTATAAAATTAAGCTGCGAGTCCCAGGAGCAAGCGCATGTGTCTGCCAGGACCGCAGGCCAGGCCAGGCTGGACGGGCGGCGGGAGGAGCCAGGCTCAGGGACTTCAGAACGCAGCCTAAGCCGAGAACACAAGCCTAAGCCCCTAACCGCGGCCCACGCCCCGCAGGCCCAGGTCGCAGCCTTTAAGGTCGAGGAGCAAGGCCTCTCGCCCGCGAGCCCCCTGGAAACCAAGCTGGTTCAGTGGAGAGGTTTGGCGGGCTCTAGGGGCTCAGAGATTCAAAGAGCAAAGAGGGATGAGATGACAGGAATGAGAAGCTAAATGGAGGAGCTAAAACTACAAAGGTTATAGAAGAAAGCCAGGGAAACAGATGCATAACTGTGTTTGGCAGTGATTATTTGGACAGGGCACTGAAGGCACAGTTCATGAAAATGAGTAAGTTTTATGAATCAAAACACACCATTCAGTTAACAGAAACTCAGTTAACAGAATGGAAGATGCTATGCATGAGTAATATCCTGTATCAGACTGATATCCAGAATACATACAGAACTCCTAGAACTCAAAATTCCTAAAACTTAATGCCAAACGTATTTTTAATGGACAAAGAGCTTGAATGGACATTTATTTATTTTTCCTTTTTTTCCCATGTTTCTTAGTACACGTTTGCAGTACTAATGTTTACATTCCTTGTGTGGAGTTGGTGCATCTACATAACACATCTTAATTCCTTTTTTCAAGCATTTTCCCTTCCTCCCTCCCTGTCTTGACATTTATTTAAAGAAGAAATACAAAAGAACAATAAACATAAAAATACTCAACACTGGGCCGGGGATTTAGCTCAGTGGTTCCGGCTCCTGCCTCACAAGTGCAAGGTCCCGAGTTTGATCCCCAGTACCAAAAAAAAAAAAAAAAAAAAAATACTCAGCATTACAAATCATTAGTAAAATTCAAATCAGAACCATAGGAGAGACTGTTTTATACTCATGAGAATGACTAATCTCAAAAAAAAAAAAAAAAAAGAATGAAAGAAAGAAAATAAGTCCAACCAAGAGGACATGGAGGAACCCCAGCATCCTGTTGATGGGAATGCAGAATGACACAGCCAATGTGGAAAACAGAGTGGTGAGCCCTCAAAAAATTAAAGATTGAATTACTGTAAGGCCCCACTCTGCTACTTCAGATTATGTACTTTGAAGAATGAAAGGAGAGTCTTAGGAAATGGCTGGAGACTGATGCTCAAAGCCATATTATTCATATAGTGAAAGTAGGAAGAACTGGAGGGTTCATGGAGAATACTGAGTTGAGTAGGTAATTAAAATGCAGTACAAGCACAAGAGGGACATCATTTGGCCTTCACAGGAAGGACATTCCCATCCAGGCCACAGGATGGATGAGCTTAGAGGTTACTGTCCTAGATGGAATAAGCTATCATGAAAAGACAAGTCCTGTATGAGGTTGCTTGTATGAAGGACGTGGAGTGGTCAAATTCTTTGAGACAGGAGGACAATACTAGTCCCTAGGGACTAGTGAAGAGTGTAATGGAGAGAGATTTGAGAAATCACAGTGGAGAGTTGCAGGGATGGATGGTGGTGGTGGTTGCATGAATACCACTGGCTTATAGACTTAAAAATGGTTAAACTGGTAAGCTTAATGTTATGTGTATTTTGCCACAAGGAAAATTCAAAATGGGAGTCAGCCATGGTGATTCACACCTGTAATCCCAGTACTGTATTTGGGAGGCAGAAGCAGCAGGATTGGGACTTGGTCTCAGGTTTGAGGCCAGTTTGAGATATGTAGTGAGACCCTATATCAAAAAAAAATCACATGCTTTCTTTCTTCCTCCTCCTCTGCACCCTCTCTGTTTCATAATAGCCATCCTAATGTATGTGAACTGGTATTTCAGTTTGATTTTTATTAGCATTTCTCTAATGATTAGCAATAATGAGCATGTCTTCTGCTTATTGGCTATTGGCATATCTTTGCAGAAATGTTCAAATTTTTTATTTTTGATCAGATTGTCTTTTCATGTTCCTCTACGTACTGTATTTTGGGTCTAAGTCCCTTATCTCACAAATAATATGAAAATATTTTCTCCCATTTCATGGGTTGCTTTATTATTCTAGTAATAATCTGGTTATATGGAGTCAAAGAAAATTATACACCCATATTCATAGCAACATTCATAACAGGTAACAGATGTAATCTAAGTATTTACACATGGATGAGTGATAAACAATACACACCCATAATGGAATATTATTCAGTCTTAAACAGGAAGGGATTTCTGACATAAGCAATCTCGTGGATGAACTTTCACGACATTATGCTAAGTGAAATAATCCAGGCATTAAAAGAGTAATACTGATTGATTTCACTTATATCCATACCTTCAGTAACAAACTCACAGAGACAAAGAGTGAATGATTGCCAGATTTGGGAGAAATAAGAAGATAAGGAATTCCCATTTAATAAGTGTAGAGTTTGAGTTTTACACGATGAAAAGAGTTCTGGAGATGGGTGGTGGTGGGTTGTACAATAATAATTATTATTTCCACCTAAATGTACATTTAAATGGTTAAGATGGTAATCTTTTTGTTTGGTATATTTTACAGTAAAATGTGTTAGCATAGAAATAAGTATTGAAGTTAGACAAGTTAACAGCATGTGCTATTATCTCATAAAAGGAAAGTTTTCCAAGTTAGCTCCATTATCTTTCAATGTGTAAGCTCTGTATTTATAGGGGAAAATTTTTCGTCTTGCTGTACCTTTACTCTCCCTAAAACACAGGTTTTTCTAGGAATCTAAAATTTAGAAACTGAATGAACAAGTGGATTTTAATTGTCTTTAAAGGGTCAGTTATAGTTATTTACTTTTGTTTGCTGACACAAATTGTAAATCAGAACTAAAGTGATGAAACACGAACATTATTTTTCAGTTTCAACCAACTGAGGATCTAAATTATTCTCAGAAGATAAGGACTATTTTCCTTGTCATTATTCCCTAAAGGATAGAGTTTAACAACTACTTACATAGCGTTTGCATTGCACCCTATGAGTAACCCACAGGTGATTTAAAGTAACATGCGATGGGCATTAGCAGGCTATTGGCAAACACTACACACACCATGCTGTGCAGGGGACATGAGCATTTACAGACTGAGGATCCTCCTGAGGCTCCTAGAAACAATTCCCAATGGACACCAAGGGACACCTGCAACATGTTTATATTTAACATTTTATTTGAACCCTGTAGAAATTTTTTCTAAGAATCACACTTACCTATAATACAATAATTAATTTTCCATTTGTATTAGTGCATCAGGCGGTGCATGAGCAGAGCGCCCCCTGGCGGCCGCCCGTCCCGAGCCGCCCAAGCCCGGGAGCCCAACTGTCGGGCCCTGTTCGTTGAGGCCAGCGACCCGCAATGCTGTCTCTCCTGCTGCTACTCTCCGGCCTGGCCCGGCTCACCGCCCCCTCTGGCCCGCGTAAGCCGGGACCCAGCACAGGAGGCGCCGCACCACCGGCTGCGGCCCTCAGGAGGGGCTGGGCGCGGGCTGCTCGCTGAACCCTGCCCCGCGGAAGGCGCCGCTCCGGCCGGGGGGCGGGAGGAGCCGGGCTTGGGGACTGCAGCCCAAGCCCCGGAGGCCCAGGTTGCAGCCGTCACGGTCACGGCAGGGGCCTCTCGCCCAGGAACAGCCTGGGGGCCAAGCGTGTGTGTGCGGGTGTGTGCGTGAGCGTGAGTGCATGTGAGTGTGCGTTGTGAGCGTGTCCACCCGCGCGAGGGATAGGGTTAGGAAGTGCGAAGGCTGATGAGAGATGGGCACAGGTGGAACCGGACGATGCTGCTGCCCACGGGGAAGCTCACGGGCGTTTCCTCCCTGCAGATTCTCAGAAACTGCAGATAACGGTGCCGCACAAGGTGGAGAGCGACACAGAGGATGGGGACGCACAGAGGACGCAGGTACTGACTTTCAAGACCTGCAGTGACTTTCTTCTACTGCAGTTTATGGCTCAAGTCAGCTAATAGATCCCTTTTCTTATTGTGTGTTCTAATTTACTATGTTAAAGAGCCTTTTTCTTTGAATGGCAGCAAGAATTCGATGTTTTTCATTTCTCAAGTAATAATATGAATATTATGAACATATTTTAAAACACAAACTCAAAAAAATTCCCACAATCCCTATCTCACAAAAAGCATAGAGAGTTTACTGGACTGTTTATCTCAAAAATATTTACATCTAAATGTGTGTTCTATGAGGTCATACTAACATTTGTCTTATAACATGATTTTAAAATATATAAAGGATACCATCATGCTTATTATATATGCAACATATGTATATATAAGTCTTTTGTAAAACTAATGATATTTTAATCAAATTAGTAAAACATGTGCATTATAAAATTAAATCCAGACTATACAGAGTGATGTGAAGAAAGTATCAACCTCTTTTTGAAGATAGTAAATTTAAATGAAATGAATACTTAATGATATACAAACATATTTTAATCATCATATAAGACTGTTTTGACTTTTTAATTTATTTATAAAGATTTACTTTTGTAACCAATATGGCTTTATAACCACATGGAATCTCGTAGATGTAATAATCTGTACTTCATCAAATTTTTAGCATGTGGTTTCACAAACTTTGGAAAATTATCTCCTTTGGATCAACAAGCAAACTATTATTTTTTCATAAATATTGCAAAATGGGGCCGGGGATGTAGCTCAGTGGTTCTGCTGCCTGCCTCACAAGCATAAGGTCCCGAGTTCCATCCCTGATACCAAAAAAAAAAAAAAAATTGCAAAATGTCTTCCACAAAAATTCCATTACTTGACAGTCATCAGAGAATGACGATGCATCTCTTCCTGAGCCTGCGACAGGCTTAGTTCAGTCTTCTTGGTCTACATGAACATCAGAATAAATATCTTACTTTAGCTTGTATTTTTATTAAGCTTTAAGATATACATGCTTTTAGCAATATTGACTACTTGACTTACATTTCATTCTAATTTCTTACTTGGACATCTCTTTTTATAAGAAATAGCACTTATGATTAGGGCATCTTGCTTTTCAGAAGAGGAAGGGTTAATGCTAAGGCAGAGATCTGATTGGATCCAAGGACAGAACCTGGGTAACTAGGACTAAGAAACATGAGTTGCCAAATGAAAAACTTGCATCCTGCAGCAGATTTCATGGCCTGGCTACTCTCTCTTACTTTCTGTCACCAAAAAAAAAAAAAAAAATCAATGATGACACACATATAAAATCTGTTACACCAAAAATATAAATATATGTTGCATGTTGAAAGGTTTTACTTTCCACGTATAAATAAAGTCATGATTTCATTGAATGTAAAAAAAATGTCTGGAGAGGTCAATGTGTTTAAGAGAGTGTATCATAAACTGGGAAAATGGTAACCAAAAGAAAAAATGATTAACCATGATAACAGCACACACACACACACAAACACACATGCACACACTGTCATGAGGGGTAAGCATCACTACTTAATGATAGAATTTTCAGTTTTCTAGGGACATACAATAATTTTAAAATTGTAGAATGTATAAAATGCCCTTAGCATACATAAAATGAAAACTAGCATTAAAGAAACTGTCAATCCATTTTCCTACCTCATAAATACGTTTATTCAATTGCTAGTTGACATCAATTATAGAAAACATTCAAAAAGAAAATTTGCACAACAAATCGAGCAATTTATTCAAGGGACATTGATTAGAACATGAACATATTTCAGTGAATGTACTTTTGTTCTGGCACTTGTTGAGCCAAGTAGACACTATGGGGTATCGCTCATGACGTTATTTATAATGGAAAGATACAGTGTAACAAGAGAAAGAGAATTTAGTTAAGCATCAGGACTCCAAGAAACATCCTTGGTGAACATCTCATAAGTTCAAACTCTATGCTACTACAACACGTGGAGGCTCTGGCTTGGACCAGCAAGATCTGTGAGGAGAACTCGGTCATTGGGAGACTCACCCCTGTCACCCTAGCTAGGCAGACACTCAAAGAGCTAACTTTACCCAGGGGAGTTTTGTACCCTATAGAACACATTATAAATTTACTGTCGCTGTTCTGGCCAAGAATCAAAAGCAATCAGACTTTTACGCATCCCAGAAATTTAAAAATAGCATTTTTTCCAATCACACTGTAATTGTATTCAATCTCCACAGTAAATAATGCACTTTCTTCTCAAAAGTATACAGAACATTCAACAAAACTGACCACAGTAAAAAAAATCAAATACTTACAATACATAATTCATTATTAGACAATAATTCAATTAACTGAAAACTTAACCAAAAAATTAGATTGTGTTTGCAAAGGTAAAGGTACACTTTATAATTCAATAGGTTAAAGAAGAAATCTTGAATTATTATGAATATTAAATAATAAATAATGAACAAGGATGAAGAAAGTTTATACAACATTGCATCCTGTCTGAAAATGTTATAGGGGCATAACTTACAACAAATGTTACTTGATAAGTTAAAAAGTGTGAAAATTTTTCAGTTAATTAAGAAATTAGAAAAATAATTATAACCGTAAAAGTTTTAAAGATGCTTCTAAATTAAGACCTACAATTAATGAAAAAATTATGATATAATAATTTTAAAAATTGATTTTGAAATTAATTGTGGTAAGAGAGATGAAGGAAAATGAATAGGTGAAGGAAAAACATACAATATTAGAAATGACAAAATAGGTACAAATGGGTAACAAAAGTAAACAACCATAAAAAGTTATGTTAATACATTTTAATTTAAATAGTACATTCTTAAAATATAACTTACAAAAGCAAACATAAGATAAATAATATTAATACTTGTATCCTGGTAAGAGAGTAAAACATTTCTAAATCCTACCTTCCCCTCTTTTAGGCTATGCTAGCTTTTAAAATACAATGTGTCTGATTTTACCAAACTACTCAAATGTCAGCTTCTTTTGATTCTAAACCATTGTATGCCCCTCTGATTGGACACTTAAGAAAGTAATTTGTGCCTTTTACAACCTGAATCAGATTTACTAGTTCTGTGTTCATGAGCTTCATATGAAACAGATTATAAAATAATCCTTTATGTATCTTCTTTTATTTAATCTATTTTTATATTCAGTTGTGCTACCACTTCTCAGCCTTTTGGCTAAGAACAAGTGTATTCAGTTTTGCTATTTATATCAGTTAATACATTTTACAGTGTTCAGTACCCTAAGAATTGGATTGAAGTGTTGATGGACAATATTTCTAGTTTTTAACCATTCGGTATAAATCTGCTTTAAAGAAACAAGTGCTCTGTTGATATATACTTTCAGATGCATATTTCAAGTAATGAAATTGTAGTTTAATTTGGAGTTGAAATAGGTATACTATTGTACATTTCCACTAGCAGTGTCTGAGAGTTTTAGTTCTAATACAGCTTTCTAACATAGCAGTGTTTCCATCTTTCTTTGTTTTTATTTACTTTTGTTTTTTTGGTACCGGGGATAGAACTCGGGTCCTTGAGCTTAATCTTTCTGTTTTTGTTTTTCCTTTTGTCAGTTTACAAAATTTTAATGAACAGAGAATAACTGTAGTGTTAAGTGGAATGAGCTAGGGACACAAAGACAAATGCTGCATGGTTTCCACCATATATGGACTCTTAAACACTGCGCTCATAATGGTGACCAGAATAGTAGTGACCAGAGGCCAGAAAGAGGAGAGAAAGACAGAGAGAGAGGTTGGTGAAAAGTTAAGATATTTCGAAAAACCCAGCGCCCAGGAGGAGGCTCCCCACCGCCATTCCACTGCTCCTAGGGCAGAGGAAGTGAGCCAATCCCAGGGTCCAGAAAGAGGCATCCCACCACCACTCCACCACTCCTAGGGCAGAGGAGGTGAGCTGCACAGGTGCCAGCAGCACACTCCCCCCACCCTGTGGAAATAAGAAGACATGTAAACAAGCCTCAAAAACAGACTTCCAGATCACCTACAGCAACCCCAAAGGGAAACGAGATGGAACAATCT